TCACAACACAGTAAAAGTAAACAAGCAAACAACATCATCCATTGCATTAAATATATAATTTTAATACAAGTGTGTTCTTTACAGTTATAGACACCAAAAATAATGCAAATCAAAATAATAAGAGGAGTCTTGGATGCGCTCCATCTTCTCAAAAGCTGGCATCGATACCTGTCTACTGATGACCTGAGAATACAAGTTATTTTGAAAGAGTTTATCAGTATTAAGCTGGTAAGTTCATAAGTATTTTAGTGTCGGTATTTGTATCAAAACGTTTGAACATAGTTATAAACAATAGTTGTAAACATTTGTGATAAAAGTATGTAAATGTTTGTATGTGTTTGTAAAAGGTTGAATCTCACAGAAAAACCTATATTTTCTATTAAAAGTAGCCTTCTACCAAGGCATAACTGTTTTGTACGTTTGACTATTGTAAAACTATGTAATTATCCAAGTGTAACTATCATTATCAAAATATAGTTTATACATTATTGTTTGAGTGAAATAATCACTAAATGTATATAAAGGATAAATTACTGTAGTACTGTAGTATTATAATGTAGGAACTACTATTGTACTATCTACCTTAAATTGGACGTATATTAAGGTATCATGTGATTTAGTTGTACCATACTATCGATTGGATAACAACGACAAATGAAAGGTCGTAAAAAGAAATGATGTTTGGCACCCGCAAACCTGCATGTCCGGCTGTAGCTAGCAGCAAGGTGTAGGATAGTCAATCCAGTATAGATCTATACGCAAACTCACGCCCTCCCTTCAAGAGAATTCTGGCGACAACTCGGGCCATGACATTTAAGGCATGCTCCGATACAGTGGATCACAATTTTGTAAAAGTATATATGTAATGTACTGTTACTTGTTCTAGTATCGTTGTATGTGTTCTTCGTCTAGTATAGTTATATATGTTCTTTGTCTAGTATAGTTGTATATGTTCTCATAGTAATGTAAAGTATATGTTCTCATAGTAATGTAAAGTATATGACTCATGAATGAACTGACTCATTGATCTGGCAATAGTATAAATGTAATCCTGTGTTACCCCTATGGTAACTCACTAATGATGTAACTGATACGCATGAATATACAAGTACTTTTATGTCTATATATGAACATATGATGTATAATTAATACTGAAACGACCTTCGGACGGCTACCCATCATCCCACCAGACCACATCCAAATCGAGGAAAAGGAAATAGGCGGACGACCTTCCTAAGCCTTTTAAACGTTTCTTATATATCTATACATATATGGACATGCAATTTATAAGAAGTATAATAAAATTTAAATAAAAGTATTTGGTAAGAAAAGAGTTTGTAAAACATTTTGAAGTAAAACAGTTGATAAATAGTTTGAAACAGTGATAAAATCATTGGTTTTATAGTTATTAATCACATGTGGTTGATGTAATAACCATAAGTAGTCAACTTGTATTCCCCCCATAAAAGTATTTAAAATATTGAAAAGTATTTCAAAGGTTAATTAAAGGGGTATTAACTCACTTGTGGTGAGTGGATTGGATTGAAGTGTCGGGTTCGGTGCTAGGTGACAATTGGAGACTTGTACACACGCACGAGCCTAGTTATCATATAATGAACATATGTATAACTAATTAGCCTTATTATAACTAATAATATGAGTTGGGACACTCTAGAACCTGAAAACACTTTGTTTCAAGTGCTAAAGTTCACAAGGTTTGCATCCGAGTGCTAGTAGGGCATAACTAGGGTGTTTGGGGTCCAAGGGTAAAGTCCTTGGGAGTTTACGGTCTAAATGACCTTTACCCTTGGAGTTTATGGCAGTAAACTCTAGGGTTTACGGTATAAACTCCAAATATTGCAACCATGAGTTGTTTTGGAGTTTAACAAGTCCCTAGAAGCAACCTTGCTAAGTGGTTTAGCTCTTGGAATGGATTAAGGCTACAAAACACCCACCTTGAGGTGTTTATGGCCTAAGGGTAATTTCCCTTGGGTTTACTACCGTAAACCCCTATGGGAAGTGGTATTTCCATTGTTTTAAGTCCTTAACACCACTAGGTAAAAGTCTAGGTTAGTTTTTAGGGCTAAGTAAGGAATATGACCCATTTAAACAACCTTTTGGGTGTTTACGGCCTTGAGATATCCTTAGGCCGTAAACACCTATATTTTGTGGTGTTTGATGTTTTAAAATGCTTAAACGTATCAATGGAAGGTTTAGATATGTTAAGGTAAGTCTAGGGCTTCAAACTAGGGCTTAAAATGGGACTTAAGCCAAATTTGAGGGACTTTATGGTGTTTACGGTCCAAGCATCTTCTTGGACCGTGAACACCTCCAACATGGTGTTCTTGGCTGATTTCCTTGGTGTTTGCATAATATACTAGCTTACAAGCACTTAAGGATGAGAGTACTTACTATAATGGTGCTTGATTCGAGCTAAAAGGGCCAAGAACACTTAGTGTGTGTTCTTGGTGTTCTTGGTGTTTTGGAAATCTAATCAAAATACACAAATAAACGGATGAATAGGTGTACAAACACTAGATTAAGTGTTTTACTAACTTGAAATGGTTAGAACACTTACAAGATCGTAGTTTTGGAATTAAAGGTTGGATGATAGTTGAGAGGGTTTTTGGGAGTTTACTCTTTTCACTTTTTGGGGGGTAAACACAAATGGCTAGTTCTTGGGGAGTAAACTCATACATAGATATGAGTTTACGGTTTTTGGGTGATTTTCAAACCCAAAACATAAAAGTTTAGCCGGGTGATCCTAATACGGGAAGTGTTTGCGGTTTTCAAAATAAAAACCCGAGACGACACTTTCTTTTACCCGTTCGTTTAAAAATAATAAAATAATTAAACGAACTTTATATTTCTTAAAAATAAGAAATAATGATATTAAATCACCATACGAAGGGGTTGACTTTTAAGGTTTGACCAAAAGGAAATTCCGGGTTGTCACCTTCTTTCCCTTCTCATTAGGTATGTGTTTTTCTCTATAAATTCCGATTTTTTTGAAAATGTATGGATTCCGATTTGTATCGATTTCGTTTTTGAAAATTTCAGGGTTAGATTGATATTTTATTCGTTCTTGATACTGTGTATATCAAGAATTGAGTAAAATAATCTGGATTATGATAATTAATTCTTGTCCTCGTTCTTTGTTATCGATTGTATTACGCATCCGTTTTTATCAAGTCAAATCGATTTAATTCACGATTCTCGATCTTTTTCTTCTTGGTATTCAATTGAATCGAGCAACTAGTTCAGTGATTCAATGTGTTCTGTTGTAATTTCTTGAATCAAGAAATTCGTTTTGTGGCTGAATCATTAATCGAAAAGTTGTTAATCACTAACTCATCTCAACTTGTTTTAATTTCATCCATTCACGTTTAATCGACTTGCATTAATTTATATTTTATATTTTGTTTCCTAATGTTGTGTTATATGAGTATTACAAGTTGTGTAACAAAATTATTCTCTATTCTTTAGGTTTTTTTAAGTCCATGCTTCAAGGTTCAAATTTGTTTGTTGTTGAAAGATTACTAATGGCACTTGGCAAGTCATACATAATATTTATATACTGAAATATGAATAGTTACAACTATCTTAGTGGATAGGTTATTATCTAGACTAAAGATTAGGTTGTTGATGGATAGGTTAGTTTTTGGTGTTTTGTTGACTAAAATATTATTTATGATAAGTTGGATAAATATGTATCAAGTGAAGTATCTTGGAGAATATGGGGAAGATGTTCCTATAACTGGTGCAGTTACTATCTGCTGTCCATGGGGCCTTTTGTCTGTATGTATCACATTTTAACAACAAATGTTAATTTATCTAACTGGTGGCAGATTAGGTCTAGATTCATAAGTCATAGGACTGTTCAAAAATTTTATGATAAGGCTATATGCACAACTGTATGTACTACTCATTTCCTCACTTAAACAAAGCATACACTATACAATGTTTTTGCTTTTTTATTGTTTAATGTGATGAAAAAACTTTCATGTTAATTGTAATTTTTTTATTGTAGATTGTTAGTTTTTTCCTCATCTTCATACATTCTTTATAACATGCAGGCCCTACCACAAAAGTGTAGTTTTGACTTTTGACCTTGTATTCAAATGTTAAGCAACCATTATAGGTGACTTGATTTCATCCATTCACATTTCCCATGTTCTTGATTCTTCAATTTCATCGATCACTTGCTTAAATTGATTAATGAATATGAATCTGGTCAATGAATGAGTTATTTAAATTGTTGAAAAACAATGTATACAACAGTAGGGTAAAATTATCATTTTTTATCAGTAAACATATCCAGTCAGATGTACAATCAAACAACAATGTTTCTTACTCAGTCATGATTTCTTATCCAAACAGACATTTATCAGTTGATACTTTCTCAATCAGCAACTATCAAACGGGACCTTAGTAACTTTGATCTATGACTTTTATGGTTTGACAAGTTTAGTCATCCCAAATGGTCATTGACTTTTGTGGTTTTGCAACTTAAATCTTTTTAAGAATCTATTGCTATCAAAAGAGTTTTTTTTTTTTTTTTTTTTGCTTGATTAGGTTCCTCCGTATAAATTTAAGGTGGTTAATGTTTCAAAATAAATTTAAATTTTCAATTCGTTAACTCTCTTTTAAAAAGATATTATTTTCTATGTAAATTTTAGTTTATCTATATTTCGATGTAATTTTTTTTATACGTTTTCCTACTAATTTTTAGGTTGATACTAAAACTAAAAATTATCTCATAATAAAAATCCTTAGTCATATCAACTAATTTTTAGGTTGATACTAAAATTAAAAATTATCTCATAGTAAAAATCCTTAGTCATATCATCGAGTCAATCGTATTTTGTTTTACAGCAAAAAGTCGGTGCATTTTGCTTGACATGGTTTTGATCTCCAACTTTTATAAAATGACAATTAAAGTCCTCCTAAGTTTCTATACATAACTTTAGTTCCCGATTTTTATGATTTGACAACTTAAACTCTCCTAGGTTTTTATTTCATAAATCAAAATTCTAGTACCTTGTAGGCGTCCGTTATAAATACTCCTATGATTCCCCAACTCATAATCTAATGATTTTATATTTCCGATTTTCCTTCCTTTTGTGCTATTCTTCTCTCTCTAGCAAACAGCAAAAATGTGCGGCGGAGCTGTCATCTCCGACATCGATCCGTTCGTAAAACGAAGCCGGAAAGTAAACGCCAATGATCTCTGGAACGAGCTCGACACCTACAATCGCTTCGCCTGGAATATAAAGCCACCGTCTCCAGTTCGTAATCGTACCACCATGAACGACTACACTCCAAACTCCAACCAAGGTGATGTTAATTGTTAAGTACAACGATCCGCAGCCTTCTCCCAATCTATTTTCTTTTTTGATTGTTGAAGATTTAATGGTTCTATTTATTGCTAATGAAAATATGATGTAATCATAGATAAACATGTTAGATCCTGTGCTTTTTTTGCTTAATTTTGTGGAAAAATCGGGTAGATTTAGAGGTTTTTAGTCTGATTTTGAGGTTTATTTTTCAGGCACTAGGAAACAAACTCAGAAACCGATGGAAAAAAAGAGTAAACCTCGGAAGAATCTCTACAGAGGTATTCGCCGGCGACAATGGGGAAAATGGGCTGCTGAAATCCGGGACCCTCAACAAGGCGTTCGAGTATGGCTCGGGACATACAACACACCTGAAGAAGCTGCTAAAGCTTACGACGAAGCCGCCAGGCGAATCCGAGGCAATAAGGCCAAGCTCAACTTCCCTCCGCCACATACGCCTCCGCCGCCGCCACCCGCCAAGAAGCTCTGTGTCGAAACCACCGACTCCAATCTTTCGATCAATTATGAACCACCTTCGCCGTACGAGTTCAAGGCCACCACTGAGTCAACTCAGCCAATGGCGCATGGTCAAATGCTCCCGCCGCCGTTGGATTACGGTGGTCTCCACCTCCATCCGGCTGTAGATGACCACGAATTCAAAGAACAAATCTTGAACTTGGAAACTTTCTTGGGTCTCGAGCACGAGTCGACTCAGTTTGATGAGTCAGGTGATTTTTGGGCATTGGATGACTTCCCGGCTGTTTGAGCTCAAATATTGCAATGAAATTAATCGTTAATTATGGGGCAAATAATGTATAAAAAACCCTTTATATTTTTGACGTTTTTTTATGGAAGTTATATAATATTAAAACTCTATAACATCTTTATTAATTACAAAAACTGAAGGAAGATAAATCATACCTGTTGACCTCTTACAGGTTCATTTAATGATAAAATACATTCAATCATATAATATTATACTTATTTATAATCAATGATTTGCATATGGAATGCATTTTTAATAATTAGATTATAGTTTTTGTTTGTTTGGTATTTAAAATTTAAAATACGAGAGAACTTAAATATCTTTTTTTTTTCTATTTATGTTTCTTTCATTTGAAATATTGATATAAAAATAATAATATTTTAAGATATTTATATATATTTTTTATATGGTTAGAAAGATAAATAGAAAAAAAAAATTAAAAGAATATTTATTGATAATTTCTCTAAAATAAAACAAATTTAAACTAATATGGCTAACGATTCCTCCTAAAATAAGCTAAAATATTCCCTTTTTATGTAATAGATATTTGGTTGAAGTTAGAAATATGATCAACAATGAGTGTCTATGTCATTTGGTTTTTAGAATTTTTAGCTTCTAGTTAAAAAAAAATTTAAAAAAACTTTAAAATAAAAATAAAAATAAAAAACCTTTGAAAGTGAAGTTTCGTTCGGTACCATAAGCTTTTTAGCTTTTGGTTAAACAAAAGGTTTTAAATTCAAAAGCTACTTCGAATATTGTTTAACAAAAAATTTGCTTAGATTTTAACAAATTGATTTAAATGCATTTTAAAATAAATAAACAATATTCATACTTTTGGTAATTATTTTATACTATTAAATAAATATATTTTAACAATTATATTGTCTTTATTTAAGTAAAATATATCTTATACGACTAAATATAAATATAGTTTAACAAATATGATATCTTTATTTGAAACAATTTTTTGATGGATTTCATAATTTATTAGTCTTACCTAATAAAATAATAAATATTTATTATATAAATTTATAAACCAAAATTAATATCATACAATAATATTATTTCTTTAAATGTAATTGAGTAATTACTAAATAATAGAAAATATGGTCAACAATGTTATAAAACAATAACATAAAAGAAAATAATGTTTTTAATATAAATAATGCATCAATGAATGACAAATTACCACTTCCTCATTACACGGATTACATACAAAATTAATTATAAAAGTATTGAGTTTGTTATAATTTAGTCATGAAACTCTAAGCCAGGCTAAATGTTTTACTAATTTTTTTTATATATTTTTAAACAACAAACTGAGCTCTCAATCACAAACACACACGCACACACAAAAAAATCACACGATTGGACTAAAAGTCTTTTCATTGGACTTTATCTCTCATTCATCAAAACAAACATGGCCCTCAAGTATCAGCACCATCACCAAACATAAATGCCTTATCATCTCTTATCATTAGTAAAATCAAATACGCAAAATAACTCATTATCATCTCTTATCATTAGTTAAATCAAATACGCAAAATAACTCATGCATATAAAGCAAAACACAAATATCTATATAAATATTATGATGCAGAAAAATATCCAGTGCAATTGATGTTCAGTATATCCATGTGAGTTTGAGGTTAGGAGTTCAAATTCATTGAACCTGTTAAAATCTGTGTTTTGTAATTATGTTCTATGTGTGAATTTTTTCTCTGAAAATCTCTTGAGGACCAAGTTTGCCCTCTAAATAAGCTCGAACTTGTAAGGTTTTGTTAAATCATTGTCTATTTCCAAACAAAAATCAATACACAAACTATATGCAGAAAATTATTACTCTACATCAATTTTCTAGGAATTGATAAGAATAATTATTCTGCAATCTAATACTTCATCATCATATCATACAAAAATATCGGTTAAGTCTGAGTATCGATTGAGGAAGAGACAATGAGGGTAGAGGATTCATATTAATAATAATAATGATAATAATAATACGAAAATAAAAAAAATCCTTGTGTACGCCATGCTAGCGCCACATGGATGAAGCTCGATCAAAATTGCCTATGTGGCATGTCATCCAGACTATTTATCTGTTTAAGAACATTTTTCCACGTGAACATTTGAGAACAAAATTTTAATTTTAATTTTCCAATGTGGCATAATTGTAAATAACTTAACAATTGGTTCCAACATATCACGTCCAAAAAATAAGGGTATAATCGTTAAAAGAATATAAATTGTTTCCAAACATACATTGTCGGAATACTCGATTTACGAAAATAAAAACTCTCATTTTCTCTGAGTAGAAAACCCTTGCTTCTCTCCAACATTTCATCAATTTTCAAATATTCTCAACAAAAACGAAGAAAATGTAGTAAAAAACAGGGGAAACGCAATCAAAAGCTTCATCAAAAGGTATCACAAGGTACATTTGACATTTTTTGCTGAATATCACTCGATTTCATGATTATCAACTTTTTTTGATGAATATCACTCGATTTTCGAGTTTTCCTACTTTTAGTTTTATCAATATATAGGAAATCGGCATTATTCAAAAAAAATTGAAATCAAACCCTAGTTTCGATGTCGAACATTTTACTGAAGTTTTCTCATAAATAACACTCAGTTTTACTAATATTAACATTTAATTTATTGATTTAGTGTTATGTTATTCATTTATTGTGTAAATAAAGTCGTTTTGTGTAAACGGTTGAGAAAAAAACATTCCAAAAAGATGATAGATCCAAAAAACATAAATGAAGGTGATAAATCATATGACTATGTTCAATCATATATGATTTGCGGATGAATTCTTAATTATAATGAGCGTTTGCAATCATATATTATTTGTTAATGTTATAATCTTGAAAATGATTGAACACATGAGATTATATTTATACATAGAACAAAGATTGAATCACATGTAATCACAATCTATATAAACAGTATATTATTTATTTGCCATGACTTTTAATAATCATATATTATTTTCTTATAATACATCTATTTGTATAACTCAGAAACCAATAAAGAGCGGCCAAAACCTGAAGAAAAGCCTACACAAAAAAAAAAAAAAAAAAAAAAAAAAAAAAAAAAAAACTACAGAATGCAGAACAAGAAGAAAATCAGCAAGAAATATAGTTGGAAAAGGCATATTTCAATCATAAGTGTTATATATATATATATATATATATATATATATATATATATATATATATATATATATATATATATATATATATATATATATATATCAATAATCCAAAACGATTCATAAAAGACATATGATACTTGTGATTGGATTTGTATGTTTGTGTTAGAGATGATAATCACATGTGATTAAACAATATTTTATGATTGTTAGTAACATGTGATTAACATATGATTATATGCATAAATATCCTAAAATCTGATTAATTGACATGTGATTAGCATCTATGATACACACAAGCAAATCCAATCATAAATGAATATCTTTTATTATAGATATTGCATGCTTTATTTATCATGACTTCTTTTAATCATATGTGTTTTTATTAGATACACAAAACATATTCAATCACATAGGATTAAAATCTTTTATGAACACCTTATGCTTTTGTTTTAATCATATATGGTTTTCTAATTATGTTTGAATTTATATAATTTTAGAACAAAACATAGAAGTGCCTAAAGAGAAACAACCAAGAAAATCAGCAAGAAAGACAACTAAAAAAGGTATATTTCAATCACAATGATTATATATATTAATATATATCAATAATTCAAAACGATTCATAAAAGACATATGATACTCACTTCTGATTGGATTTGTATGTTTGTGTTAGAGATTCTAATCACATGTGATTAAACAATATTTTAGGATTGTTAATAACATGTGATTAACATATGATTATATACATAAACATCCTAAAATCTGATTAATTGACATGTGATTAGCATCTCTGATACACACAAGAAAATCCAATCATAAATGTATATCTTTTATTATAGATATTATATGCTTTATTTATCATGACTTGTTTTAATCATACGTGATTTTTATTAGGTACACAAAATAGATTCAATCACATGGAATTAAAATATGTTATGAACACCTTATGCTTTTGTTTTAATCATATATGGTTTTCTATTATGTTTGAATTTATATAATTTCAGAACAAAACATAGAAGTACCTAAAGAGAAACAACCTAGAAAATTAGCAAGAAAGGCAGTTGAACAAAACATAGGGACAATTAACTATACCTTAATCCTGATCTGATCCATACTCCCGGATCAATAATTGTGCCTAATCCATACTCACAGACTAGGGACAATTAACTTAGTCTTAATCCATACTCGCGGACTAATAACAAGTTTTTATCTCTTTACCTGATCCGTACTCCCGGATCTAAAATTAACCTCTTGGTCTAATCCATACTCACGGATCTAAAACTAGCCTCTTGATCTCATTATCCAACTCATCCTTTTATCACACACTAACTATCTCATCTACCCATGTTCTACCCAACATATTTGTAGATATAAATATATATTTTTAGACATAGTTTAAAACCTGTATAGCATTCTCATTCAATACCTATTCCACATAACAGATGAGGCACACCCACATAACACGTATTTCATAGAGAATAATTCAGATCTATGAGATAGAAGAAAGTGAATATACATTCACACACATAACAACAAACTTATACACATAACACGTATTTCGTATAAAATACTTCATAATTATGCGTTAGAAGAAAGTAACCACACACTCACCTGATTAGAAGATGATCGAACAACACTACGGCTTGTAGAAGTAGTATTCTTCGGCAGATCTGGAAGATCTTCACAAAAACCGGACTCCTCGCGGGCAGAGCTTCGGCTCGGGAATTGCACTTCTAGGGATCTTCGGGGCCTCGGGACTTGCTTCGGGGCTCGGGAATGATACCGGGGCTTCGGGATATTTCTTTCACGAAAAACGATGCAAAAACGCGAGAAAAATAGAAGAAATGAGCAAAGAAGTCGGTTGCCCTCAACACCCTTTTATAGGGGGCTGAAACACGAATTACACCGGGCGTAATGGGGATAAGAACGCTGACTCCTCCCCCCCCCCCCCCCCCCTTTCGGGATAATATCGAATTTATATTTAAATTAAATATCGAAAATATTTAATAAACTTCAAAAATTCATATCTTCCTCATACGAACTCCGTTTTTGACGTTCTTTATATCCCCGCGTAGGTAAGACTACTTTCTATAACTTTCGTTTAGACTTCGTTGACTAATTTTGACTTTATTTTTATTATTTATTTTTA